TTTTATTGTCTTTGTTTAACTACTACGTGACGTCGTAAGCCAAAAGAGATAGCACTACACTAGACTAGACTAGAGATAACATGGGAATAGAAAATACGTAACGTCGTCTTAAATGCCAACTGTCCACATTTTGCCATTTTTGTGGGAAGTACATCAAATGTCAAAACCAATGTTTGGCCAAACGTTTTAGTGAATTATCCGCATGAATTGTAATGAAATGGAGAAAATATTAACAGTGAGAACAATTAAGTATTGATAAAAATGCGTCGCTGCTGCATTAAGGGGTGCGGCAGTAGAAAAAGCGGAAATCAACCAAATGTTACATTACACCGGTGTTATTATTTTACATTACACATGTGTTATTTTTCTGCCTATAAATCATACAATAGCCCAAATATCTCATGTAATTAGACTCATTGAAGTAGTTTATTCATAAGTCTTGCTGAATTTTGCTTTGGTTACTTTAGATTGCCTGTTTGTTAGTATATTTTGATTATTGTTGATACCGATTGTTTGAGATAGTGTTGTTCTTGTAAGCAGACATATTATCGATATTCTGTTATTAAAACAATTCACTACGAGGTTTTTATTATTTCATTAATTTATTATTATTTTTAAAGTTTACCTACAAATGAAAAAGAAAAAAATAATGGTTGGAAATTATAGGACTGGCGAACATAAACATTGGATCAAATACCATCTTCGTTTGTTTGCCCCATTTTGAAGAGTCAAATTTTAATAGAATTTTGAATGTAACTAGATTACATAATAAAGCAATTCTATCGTTACATTTATTGGTAAATAACTTTATATTTAATTTTGATTAAAATGGTTCATTACTTGCCTAGTAATAATAGTCTCGTATTAATTATACTTTGATTACAGTAAACTATACAAATTTGCAAACTTATAAAGCCGTTTCAATCAACATTCAAGCCATATTTTTGCATGTCGATATTGACTTATCTGTGATTATGGTACCTGTACCTGGTCAAGAGCACATAAAGATTGACACTTAAGACTTAAATCCAACTCTATGCCGCTTACGATAACAACGGTTCTAAGTACAAAGTGTGAAGTTTGACGTGCTATTGACTGTACCACGTTAAAGCCATATGTGTGGTACAATTTTGGTTTATGTAGGTACGTTTATTCCGTAGATGGGGCAGCTCCTTTCCTTTATTTTTTCTATCCTCACACACAGAATAGGCCTATAAAATTACATCGATTCTCATGAATATACTAGAGACGTTAAGTTATCGACGTGACGATATCGATATGTATTACGTACTGTTAATCACGTATATGAAAAATGTAATTCCACTCTTGGCTAGACTGGATGTAGAGCATTTCTTTTTGCAATTTTGTGAGTAGTGTGTCAGTGGGTATTGTTTTACTTGTATTTGCCAGAGGAGATTGCCTATTGACTTATCAATAAATGGATGACAATAAATACAATCCAAAGTCTAGTCCAAAAACCGCGAAAAAATGTTCGAATTTAACCTATACATAAAACTAAAACATTTAATTTAAATTGTAAAGTCATTGCAGTATTGCTTAATTTTGTTTGCCACAATTTAAAGGCCCAAAAATTATCAATATTCAGCTTCTACTGGAAATAACGAAATGCACCATATTTAGTTTCTGGTGAAAACTACTTGAACACAGAGTGATGGACTAGTCATAATAGGGTCGTATTCTAGAACTCTACTCAATGCTCAAGTCAGGATTGCACTGGAAACACAAGCACTGGAAATACGACCCTAATGGCAGGGACTTGAATATGATTTCGAGTGCTTTAAACCATCTCAAATCCTGACTTGAGCATTGAATAGAGTTCTAGAATACGACCCTAAGGGACTTGAGTATGATTTCGAGTGGTTTGAATCATACTCAAGTCAGTATTTGAGCGGAGTTGAGTATGATTTCAAGCACTGGAAATACGACCCTAATGGCAAGGACTTGAGTATGATTTTCAGTGCTCACTGCAATGCTCAAGTCAGGATCTGAGTATGATTTCAAGCACTGGAAATACGACTCTAATGGCAGAGACTTGAGTGTGTTTTCGATTGCTTTAAACCATACTCAAATCCTGACTTGAGTATTAAGTAGAATTCTAGAATACGACCCTTAGGGTCGTATTCTAGAACTCTACTCAACGCTCAAGTTAGGATTTGAGTATGGTTTAAAGCACTTGATATCATACTCAAGTCCCTGCCATTAGGGTCGTATTTCCAGTGCTTGTGTTGCCAGTGCAATCCTGACTTGAGCATTGAATAGAGTTCTAGAATACGACCCTTAATGTCAATATCCATTAATTTTATAGTATTATGTTGAATTTTATACGAATTCACTTCAAGTAATATGAGTTGTGCAGATATATAGGTGCATACAAATATTATAAATGTGAAAATAGCTGTGTCTCTGTAAGTAGTTCTGACGTGCTGTAAGAAATACATCGATGTTTCGAATTTCTAGATTCCAACTCAAAGTTCCATAATCTCGAAAACCGATTTATAACAAAACTGTTATGCATTCAGGGGATTTTGGTTGCTTAATACAAAGAAAAGATTGTTAGTTTGTTTTATAATATTTCTAAAATAATCGAAAAAAATACGTCAAAGAATTCAAATATTACGACTTTAAAGATTTAAAAGATCTATCACAAAATATTTTAATCAACACTAGTAAAGATACAGAAGGACGGACGGTGAAATGCCTAAAAATAAAGAGGTTGCGATATGTAAAAGGAGAGGCAAAGATTTATTACAATTACGACATGTCCGAGATATTTTCTTTCATTGATATTACAAAAAATGTGGAAAAAGATAATACGTCAGAGTCTAAAAACAATATGAACATGGTTATGGAACGCGAAACAAAAAGAAAAAAAATGTTAAAAATTTACCTGCAGGATGCTGCACGAGCACGCACTTACCTAATCCAAGCGTGAAATAGTTATTTTTGATACAAGTGCGGAAAGTTAGTCATTATTCACGAGTCAAGACAAGTGAAAATGACAAATCCGCATGTGTATCAAACAACGTTTTTTAATACATTTGCGAAAAACCTACATTGAAAGTAAAATAAAACAGTATTTAAAAAAAAACCTCATTTTATTCCTTTGTCAATAACAAAATCAAATCGTAAAAAAGTTAATGAAAAAGGCGGAATGTAAACGATGAAAAAAATTAGTACTTTTTTTGGCCGACTTTTTTCAATATGGCAACTGTTGCCAGTATTCAGCCACATTAAAATTACTATTTTATACATTGACTATTTTCTACATAATCGCTACTAAGGAGCATTTACTTCATAGGTGTAAAAATGCGGTCTCTCCATAGATATAGTATAGTAATGACGAATGACTTACGTCACAAAGCACATAAATATGAAATAAATATTCTCTATAGTTCTATGTTTAAGACTTAAAACAACAGTAAATTAAGAAAAACTCGAAAAATAAAAAGCACTAGTGTGAGAAATCCAACTTTCCGCACGATTTGTAGTGCGAAAAATACCACGTTTTGAGCAACTGTATTAAAAAATTATTTTCCATGTGACCTTCTACAACCGTACAAAACTCGCTTAAAAATAACTGTTGCAAAAATAAAAGGATTTGCTGCAACTCTGTGAAAAGTTAGTCATTCCAGAGGTTTATGCCTCCAGAGGTATTGAAACCGAATTGGCTTGAATTCGGATGATGCATGCAGGGACAGGGGCCTGACTGCACAGTATCAGAATCAGATGAAGATGCTTCAACTTCCGAGAAAGACTAATTTTGAGTAACTTTTCTATTTAATCTCTGACCCAAAAATAAGGGACTTATAATTTTAAAGCCATTGTTTGTCTCTTCAACAATCTGTGAGTTCATCTGTCTAGACAGACGACACTTCTCTACTCCTTTTTTTTTTAATTTAACAATTTTTGTAATTTTCTATAAATTAAACATATTTGAAATAAAATACGATTTTAATTGCTTATGTAGGTACATAAGCAATTAACCGTAATTCATGTTTTGAAATATATAATTGGATTTTTATTTTATTTTTACCTATGATGTTATTATAGAAATTTAGCTAAAGTTGATAGATACAAAAAGCAATAATACAAGCTTAGAATAATAACGCATACAAGTTACTATAATTTTGGCGGCAATTAAACCATAGTTTCCTGGTAAATAGCAATTATTACAATTTCAACATTTTCAGCGAAAACCAACTTTTGACTTAAAGTTAGATTTTTGCAGAACTCGGTTATGTATAATGTAAGCATTTACATAGATTTGATAAAACATAAAATAAGGAATCATTTGATACAAATCAACGTGGGTGATCAAGGTAAGGTGTAAGAAATATTCGTTGTTGATATTTCAATTGCGTTTATTTCAAAACCAAGTTTTTGTGAGATAACTGTTTTTCGCAGTACAACGGCGATATGTACTTTTTATTTTTCTTCTTTCTTACAGTACGGGTGATTTATATTAAAACAATCACAATTTGTTTTCATTAATTATAAGTTTTGAGTATTTCAATTTTATAAGAGGTGAACTGCGTGAAAAAATAGAATATAATAGAATCAGTCAGATGGTCCACGGGCATCAAGCGGATTATATAACAAGTTCTACAAACGTGACAACAGAAAGAGGAACAAGAGCGAAATATAACGCAAGCACCCGACCGAGACTAGTAGAATACAGAAATCAAATTATTTTTATTTAACTCATTAATTTTATTTATTCTAAATACGTTTTGACAGACACATAACGTTGTTCTATAAAAAAAAATTTGTAGTTTGTTTACATTCTTTTAATTACCTAAAAGTACAGAGCGTTGAATAATCAAATAACATCTATAATATAAATATCATATTCGTGGAGACTCAAAATAACGCGTAACTCAGGGGTACTCATGCTTTACATATTACAGCGCTTTTTACCCCTGAGATGATTAAAATTATCTGTGTAAATTATATATAATTATCGTCAAGTGCTTAGTTCTATCAAACAGAAATAGGACTATGTAAAAAAAACTGAACTCACACTTAACTTAGTATATTTATTACTAATAAAGTATTAATAATTTTCACATTTCAATATAACAAATTTACTTATTAAAGCAGACCTTGTCGCTTCAAGTCTTCGTATGTTTTACGGTTAACAACATTCCCTTGAGAGTCTTCATATTCTTCGTCATTTTCAGCTACGAACCTTTCAGTCTCCTTCTGGTGTTTGATTTTTTCCCATACTGTAAAACAATATTACAGATAACAACATATATGACAGATTTACAAAATACATGACGACAGAATTATCAACGGGCCCCAACGTAACCTGAACTTTGCAAACGAAACTACAGAAGTTAATCAATAGAAGGAATAATGGCACACCAAATACATTCATATGCAACATTTACGTAACAGTACAGCTTGTGAAAGAGTTCATCCAGGAAAGTACCTGCCACCTTACTAATTACTGCCACCAAGCAGTAATGCTGGTGAAATTACAGGCAAATGAGATTTACATTTCAGGGTGACGGGCCGAGTGGCAGTGCCCCTCAAATCTTTAAAGCTCTGAGTGGTACTGCAACTGTTATGGACAGACGTGTAGCTTACCATCAGGCGCCACGACTTGTTCGTCCCGTCACTCGATATTATAAAAAAAGGCTACATTCAATGCATGTTGAGGTCTGTTAAAAACTATAATACTTTATATGACCTATACTTACAGGCAAGCGCATCTTCGATCTGCGTGACATTAGCAAAGTGAGCAGTGTTAGGAATGCCGAGACAGCGCATGCCGTGAGCGTGTCGCCATTCCGCGAAGTGCCTCTGGAACGCTTTCGGACCTTTGTATGTGTAATTGCCACAGATCTCGCAAGTGTAGCTAATATTAAGACCGTGCAGCTTGTACAGCCAGTATGGAATTGGCTGCGGAAGAATTTCAAGAATTTTTAGGTGGTTTGATTGTTTGATTGCTAGCAGGATATTTATATTGAAAATAATATTATAATCTTATGAGATTAAAACTGTAAAAATAACAATGAAAAATCTAGCTAATAAAGTAGACTTCGTACGGCATTCAACTTTCTACTAACTGTACTAGTATATTATGACAAAATGGTAATAGTATTGGTTACCTTGCCATCCCACCCGAGGGGCAGATTCTTGGGATTGTAAGGCACCTCGTCGTCGTCGGAGTCGATGTCGGGCGCTGCGGAAGCGTCGCTCTCGTCGCCGCTATCGTCGCGCCGTTCGCCCGCCGCGCGTGCTGCACGACGCGTCACGTTCTCGATCGTTGCTGCGCGTGTGCTGCTTACTATGCCCGCAAATCTTAGGGAAGACATTAATTTTGAGTAATCTAGTGTGTTAGTAAAAAAAAGCCTATACATAAAAACATATAAATCTAATGATTTAAAACGTTAGAGTAGAACTCCCGAGTGAGAAATGCGCATATTTGTGGAAAAATTACTTTTAAATTTGCATAAAAATAATGACAATATACTAGGAAATGAAACTATTTTTCCGTATTTAAATCGCGTATATTTGTTTTTTCAAACAAAACCGACGGTTCGGGCCCTATACAGGTCCCGGTTGACTATATACTACATTAAAATTAAAACCATTACAAAAACAATGGCATAAATAGGTAGTTCCAAAGTTATTCTTAAGTTACTAATTTTGTCTACGCCGATTTTACACCAATCAAATTACTATGAGAGTTTTGGTCGGAGGAGTTCAACCTGGCCCTTTTTTTTCTTTATACAGTGTAATATCACAATTTTTCAAATTTCAGTCACGAAAAGTATGTCAATATGTCAAAATATGTCAGTCTCGAGTCAAATGCCAAGCAGAGCGCGCGTCCGTCACTATTCATTCATATAATGACACAGTACTTCTACGGGTGTACAGATGAATAGTTATAAACTGGCATCCTATATTACAAGCTTACGCTTAGTTTGGGTTCCAAACTCCTACAAACATAAAGTAGAACAAAAATTTTATTGTACGCTTCTAACTTTGTATGCATGTACAGTTATGTTTGTGGACAAAACAAACGTAAAAAAACGTATAAACTACTTAATTATAATTTACCTATATACTTGAGCTTCAATAGCTGCAATGTCCTTGTGTCGCTGTTGAGTGGATGCCTTAGCCTTGTTGCTTTTCTTCGCAACGAGGGACTTGTCCAGCGCTGTTTGACCTTTCGTGCTGAATAATCTGAAAGTACACTAGGCAATGTATAATTTGTTAATAATAATCATAGCTAAAAGCGGCAAAAACCCTCATATTCTTCCTTTGAAATTTCTTATTTCATTTTGGTATAATGTAAGGTTGTATGACCCTCATTATGTGTGTGTAAAAGTAGTAGGAATAAAGAAATTCAATGAATCTTGCCTCTGAGCTCTTTCTTCCAAGGTTCCGCCACACTTGAGACCCAATGCCATCAAAGCAGATTTCAATCTGTCAAGACCAAGAGAAGCGAGTTCCTCCCAAGAAGAAAAAGCAGACAAATCCAAATGGGCTCCCACATTGGTTAGGGCACCACCAGTTTCTTTCTGTAAAGTGGAACAAAAACAATATAAATTATTTTAAACCACTGTTTATAAACAAACTCAAACAAAATGTTTCTTATTTTTAATATACATATTGATGTATAGGCCAACCAGCATAATGTATTCATGGCTGGTGGCCCGCTTCGGCGTGCGGAGGGGGAGGAAGTAGCTCCTCTCAGGTGCTGGGGGGTCCGGTGCGCGAAATCTATCCCGGATTTACACATATAATATACAATTAAGTGGAAAATTGTTCACAGAATCAAGAAGTTACTTACCGGCCACCCAGGGAATGTCCCAGCTTCCCATTGCTTCAAAAACTCTTGATGTGCAAGTGCCATTTCTTGTGCCTGATCCTGCAAAGGCTTTATGCGACTCACGAAGTCTTTCAAGTAGGTGAGCAGAGCACGAATGTAATTGCGGTATTCACTGTTTTTTCGCTCACGCGGAATGTCGAATAGGTGGTCGAAAATGCTCAAATAGGTTATATAGTCCACTTTCTAGAAATAAATGAATTGCTGTTAGATAACATTTTTAGAGTATAAGATATACACACAAACAAGTCTAATTTATTGTAATACATTAAATTTTTGCTTTGTAGATGGCTATTTCTCTTCCATGATAAAATTAACTTAATATTTCTTATTGCATTTAACATAATATCAGTAACAGTGAAATTAATGGTCTGTAGTGTCGGTAGTAGTAATTTCTTACCTCTATCCCTTTTAAATTGATATATTTTTCATAACATTCATGAAGGTCCAAATATTTCCCATAGCCTTCTTCATCTGTAAACTCAACAGGGGCTGCAAGCATATTTAATAAATTGTTAATAATTTCAGAGTGGTGCCCTACTCTGGAAAAAGACATTCTATTTATTTTACTTACTTGTATAATCTTCAGCTGGATTTTCTCTAATTTGAGCCAGTTCTTCAAACTCCACTGACATTGGGACACATATCTGAAAGTTGAATGAGTTTGAATTAGCACATCTTTTATTTTATAACCCACTGTAAAAACAATGTTCTAAACAGAATATTAACCTTAATCAATTATTGTATTAG